GTAAAACCATACTCACTCATTCAAAATTCAATTATTTTCTGGTTACTTCGATTATTTTATCGTTAGTTAGATTATTCTGCGGGTCTATATTCCCATTCGGTTCTGACGGAAGCAATACGTGACACTGAGAATTTATTCCCTTTTCTTTGACGCAGTATCTGAAACATTTTGACGTTTAGTTTTAGAGTCTCGGCGTCCAGCCACAATAAACAGACTCACATTAAGTCATTATGACAGACAAACATATGTTTTATTCAATATAAAACACCCCGCACTTAATACATTCAGTACACATTGGTTATAGGCAGTGTTTACATTAATGGTTGCTTTTTGTCAGTAAGTGGTTTACTTGATGTAAATATAAGGCAGTGTTAAACATAGAGTTACAATGTATACATCGTCGTTGTTATACTCCACCTGGTCATGAAGACCAGTTTCAACAGCTATTTCAACAGCTATTTCAACAGCTATTTCAACAGCTATTTCAACAGCTATTTCAACTCACACACACACACACACACTCACACACTCACACACTCACTCACTCACTCACTCACACACTCACTCACTCACACACTCACACACTCACACACTCACACACACACTCACACACTCACACACTCACTCACACACTCACTCACACACTCACTCACACACTCACTCACACACTCACTCACACTCACACTCACACACTCACACACTCACACACTCACACTCACTCACTCACTCTTACTGATTTCTATCTGAATGCAGTCACGTGAAGGCACTGAAGGTAGTTCTTGCATGACGGGCAAAGCTTTACTCAATGAGTCTTTCCACTTATGTTTGCAAATGAAAATATTTGTTAATCACAAAAACCAAAAGTCATATTAATTCATACTTACCTAAAATGTGGAAGGAATATAAGCTCTGTGGTCGTGGTCGACGTCGTTGTCTACCTGGAGAAAACATTGGCTTGTTATATGACAATTGTTAATTCTATCATTGTCTGATGCATATATAAAGTAGGAATCTTTCTTCAATGATGTCCTCTGGTCTGTATTCGGATTATGCTTTTCTTAAGACAGGTAATTATAAAATATAGATGATCAGATGTAACTTTCCAATTGAAAAGTGAAGGGGTTAATGTGCTTTCTGTTGCGCTAGACGAACTTTACAACCACCGTTCACACTTAACTATGGAGGCATAGAGGGAGATCACATGTGTTTTCCATACATGTAGTATTTAGTGAGGGAGTGAGTGAGTTTGATTTTACGCCGCTTTTAGCAATATTCCAGCAATATCAAAGCAGAGGACACCAGAAATGGGCTTCACACATTTTACCCATGTCGGGAATCGAACTCGGGTCTTCGGCGTGACGAGCGAATGCTTTAACCACCAGGCTACCCGACCTCCCTAGATAGTATTTAACTTCATGAGATATAGAAAGCACCTCCAAGAAATCATCATATTAACTATATATTCATTCCACTGATGATGAATACAGTGCCATGGCATCCCACGACCAAGTTTATATGTATGGAAGCTTAATGGTGCTACTTTAGGTAGCATATTTTTCTTAAATAGAATTTTTTTCCATTCCAATTATTATTTTTTCTCTCGTAATTTAAATTTATTTCATGTTACTTCAGTCATATAGTCATATGTTCGTAATTTCAATTATTTTCTGGTTACTTCGATTATTTTATCGTTAGATTATTTCGCGGGTCTATATTCGCATTCGGTTTCGACGTGAGCAATACGTAAACTGACTCACATTAAGTCATTATGGCAGACAAACATAAGTTTTATTCAATATAAGACCTCCCGCCCTTAATACATTCCGTACAAATTGGTACAATTTCTCGACGTAACCACACACAGTACAATGCATATGGACAAAGTATATTTTAAATTGCTGTCCAATTTATACGCCCATTATCACCAAAGGGAATTAGCATTAAAGGGGTCCTCACACTTTGCCGAGTTGCGGCTCGAGTATGGACCCGAGATGACTCGGGGATACTCGTATGGAGCTCGTAGCGAGGTCGTACTGAACTCGGGGTAACTCGGGATACCTCGTACTGATCTATGAGATTTTGGAGGTGCTCAAAACAGTCGGGCCGCCAGCAACTTCTAAGAAACTCGTAAGAAACTCGTAACACACTCGTCCTACTCGGAGTACCCTCGTGGCGACCTCGTGGTGCTCGTACAGAACTCGTATGATGATCATCTGCAAAATTTATTGCCGAGTTTACCGAGTCTAATACGAGATTATTTTTTTAGCAGCTCGCAGCCACCTCGTACCAAAGTCGTACCAAACTCGTACAGCTCGTATCGAGATCGTTGTGCTCGTATGCAACTCTTAACAGACTCCTCTTGGACTCCTCATGGACTCATATTGGACTCCTATGGGGCTCGTAACACACTCGTAGCATACTCGTATGATACTCGTATATATGTAGTCTCTTCCCGAGTCCTTACCGAGTTATGTTATAATTATTTGGAAACCCGACTCCAATATTCATGACCCGTGTCATTTAAATATGTTGCAAGGGGAATCTTCCACATTCACCCAGGTTTCAAGGCTCAGGGATATTTACACAAGCTTATTTGTACAATTGGAGGTTCCCGATTGTTAAATCCTAGAATGGAATTGGAGTTATGGAATATGTTACACAAATCAGAATAGCGGATATCGCCACATCTCCTTTGTAAACAATTTAAAGATAAATCTGCCTCCTTGTGCTGTGACGCTGAACAAGATTGAGCTCTTGTCCATTCAATTTGGGTTTAAACACTAGGCCTTAGTGTCCGTACCATGATTCAATAATTTCACCCTTACATACCATTTCTCATAAGAGCGAAGTAGAACACCATATCAAATAATATGACCATATTTTTCGAGATTTACTTTCATACCTGTTTCATTATAAATATGTCAAGGGCATCTATATTTTTCTCGAATACAACAATCTGAAGGGGAAGGGATTGGTGTTGCCTGAGAGAAGGAAATACCATCAGCAAACAAATTATTAATGGCAGGAGTTATAAATATTCCCCATACCCTCACTATCAATAAGAGTATATAAGTGACTGGGCTGTGGGGTAGTGGTCAAAGCGTTCGCTCGTCACAATGGGTACAATGTGTGAAGCTCATGTGTAGTGTCCTCCGCCATGATATTGCTGGAATATTGCTAAAAGCGGCGTAAAACCATGCTTGCTGACACACTTAACAGCTCTTCATTTTGCTTTAGTGGCCGTCGGGTGGCCAAGTGGTTAAAACGTTCGCTCGTCCCGCCGAAGACCTGGGTTCGATTCCCGAAATGGGTACAATGTGTAAAGCCAATTTATGGTGTCCACCGCCATGATATTGCTGGAATATTGCTAAAAGCGTTGTAAAGCCATACTCACTCATTAACTCTCATTTAATGACCACTTAAACGGTGGTCGTAACCCATTAAAACATTAGCTCGAAGTCACTCTTCTTTCTCATGCCGGCGTTGAATGCCGTTAAATCATGAAACTGTCACATCACAAAAATAAAGAATCCCTCATGTCTCACGGCTCTGACATTCAAAATACAAAACATCTACAGTGTAATCAAAGTATTTACATGGTCAAGCGGTTACTGGCGAACAATTGGAATTCACATCTCACAGCTCTGACATTGAAGTACAAAACATATGCAGTGTAATCAAAGTATTTACAGGGTCTAGCGGTTACTGGCGAACAATTCTTATTCATGTTGCCCACCTATTTTCTTTTACTGGGTCCCTTTTTCACGTCACAATACAGTTTAGTATTGTATAATAAATTGAATATGAAACACGTACGTGTTATCGTGGTGTATAAGTCGCCCTGTCACTCATGGTCAAAAGGAAAACATTTAAAATATTTCCAAAAATCGAACAAAATAGAATTTACATGTGGTGCTGACACTCTCTGTCCCTGGGGTTGCTGACAACATCCCACAATGTGTTGTGCTACTGCCGTGGTGTCTATGATTGGAACAAACATCGCTATTATCCGGTTGCTTAGCAAACGGCCTGTTCTGACTGCCATCTTTGTATCTTAACATGTTGCAATAAAACACTGTTTTGGTTGTTGCCTAATTGGCGCAGATAACAGTAGGGCCGCAATGAAAATAAACAAATGTCATGCACAAATCCCCAAGTTTAGAGGGCAGTTTTTTAACATTAACATTATGGCAAGAGCGACTGGGAGTCAACTATGGACTTTCATTAAAACGATTACTTGTCATGGCTATTCATAACTCATATTGTGTTTCCTATTAATGTGAGGCTTTACAAAACGCAAAGGTCATTAAAATTTAGCCACAATGATCTGTGGCTCACCTGTATTATGAAGAAATAATCATTGCAGAACTGGGCTAGGATTTCTGGGCTCGATCGCAGCGCCACCAGTGGCTATTATAAGTTATGTCCCTTCTATGACCCTCCTATTGACCAATCTGATTCCATCTCTCATATAACTTGCATTTGCTTTAAACAAAATGGCGGCATCCACCCGAAACGATTATTGTAATAAAACGGGTCTTGCCTCGCGAAGTGCTAAAATCACATGAACACCTTGATTAAAAACTTCAAAAGATTTGGAAATTGTTGACGGTACACATCCTTTGCAAATCCTGCAGTCGTCCAAAATGTGCACGTTGAAATCCATGTTGTTTACTGCCAATTAGTTAATGTCAATTTCGTTATGCGATTTTAATTGGACTGTGCCAGTCCAGCCAAAATATAACTCCATAATTCCAGTCTAGTTCAGCAAGGGCGGAAACTGGACTTCTAGTGTCACTTAGGTCCCTTGCCTCGTGAAGATGATATGAGCATAAGTCTAAAGCCTGACTTGCACTACATTCTTTTATTTTGCATTGGCTCGTTTTTTTTAATTGTGTTTGCTCTTTCTGAAATATTACGAGCCAAATGACCGAGGAAAACTCACAAATTTCAATAGAACTCCATGATCCGTCAGTGGTTCCAGGCGAGTTGTCCTCGTCATTGCTTTTCCTCCTGCAATTTGCTGGTGTACATTCTTCACTGTCTGTGTCACTTTGACCTTTCTCCATCTCGGCCATATTCAACCACTGAATATATCGTTCTAATTTCTATCTTTGAAGATTCTTCACTACTTCCTGTCTTTCATGAGGGTCTTCAATTTAAGTTGGCACCAAACTCGTCATCATCATCCTACAACAAAACCGCCTAATGTGTAAAACGCCTGTCAACAGGACGGTCCTACATTTTCCGCCACAGCACTGTAGCTCACCTGGATAAGGAATCAAGACAATGTTACCTTTCAGTATGGTCGAAGTAAAAAGGTCAAATCAGTGTCAAAAGGAACACATATGTTGAACCCCACTCACTACACATTTACAAGATTTCATTACATTTGAATACTAATGACCATAAAGAGCCTTTTTTTCAAAAATAGCTGCCGTGGTGTCTAATAGTTAGTTACAGAGGCAGATGGAGCCGCCATTGGACGCCATAGCCACAACACATTAAATGGCACTTGAATTCCAGAAAAGCACATGCAGCAATATATTAAGGCTTACACAGCGTTGTACCCGGTGACCCGACTGTAGGAACCAGTTTGAAAACATGTCACCATTATATTTCGTGCTGTTTTAGAAATACAGTTCATGTTTACATGTCATATTAATCAAGGAGAAACAAGGTTTACTGTCAAAACAAACTCCCCGCAAAGAACAAAAGTCTACATGTTCAAATTTTAGCAGTTGATTTTTTAAAAAGCATTATTTATTACTTGATTTGAAGGTTCATTAATGTTGTGCAAGTTCCTATATGCAAATGTTGTTAACAATGTCCTCCTACTGAAGTATGAAAATTGTGCCTACATTTAGAATTCTCACTATCGTAGCTCCCGTACATTAACAAACACTTACGAAAATAGTAGCACTAAGATCGTAGCTCCCATACACTAACATAGACTTACGTTAGTCGTAGCGCTAAGATAGTATATACCATACATTAACATAGACTTACGATAGTAGTAGCACTAAGATCGTAGCTCCGATACATTAACCTAGACTTACGATAGTAAAAGCACTTAGATCGTAGCTCCCTTATATTAACAAATACTTACGATAGTAGTAGCACTAAGATCGTAATCTCATACATTAACAAATACTTACGATAGTCGTAGCGATAAGATCGTAGCTCCGATTCATCAATAAATACTTACGATAGTAATAGCACTAAGATCGTAGCTCCTGTACATTAACAAATACTTACGATAGTCGTAGCGCGAAAATCGTAGCTCCCATACATTAACATAGACTTACGAAAGTAATAGCACTAAGATCGTAGCTCCCATACATTAACCAATACTTATGATAGTAGTAGCGATAAGATCGTAGCTCCCATACATTAACAAAGATTACATAGATTAAAGATAGAATTAGCAAGAAGATTGTAGCTCCAATGCATCAACATAGACTAACGATAGTAGTAGCGATAAGATCGTAGGTTCCATTCCTTAACATAGACTTACGATAATCGTAGCGCGAAGTTCGTAGCTCCCATACATTAACAAATACTTACGATAGTAATTGTCCTAAGATAGTAGCTCCCATACATTAACATACACTTACGATAGTCATGGCGCTAAGATCGTAGCTCCGATACATTAACATAGACTTACGATAGTAGTGGCACTAAGATCGTAGCTCCGATACATTAACATAGACTTACGATAGTAAAAGCACTAAGATCGTAGCTCCCTTATATTAACAAATACTTACGATAGTAGTAGCACTATAATCGTAGCTCCCATACATTAACAAATACCTACGATAGTCGTAGCACTAAGATCAAAGCTCCCCTACATCAACATAGACTTACGATAGTAGTAGCGATGAGATCGTAGCTTCCATACATTACTATAGACTTATGATAGTCGTAGCGCTAAGTTCGTGGCTCCCATACATCAACATAGACTTACGATAGTAATAGCGCTAAGATCGTAGCTCCCATACATTAACATAGACTTACGATAATAGTTGCACTAAGATCGTAGCTCCGATACATTAACATAGACTTACGATGGTATTAGTTCAATATCGTATCTCCCATACATTAACAAAGACTTACGATAGTCTTAGCACTAAGATCGTTCCTCCCATACATTAACATAGACTTACCATAGTGTTAGCACTATTATCGAAGCTCCCATACATTAACAAATACTTGCGATAATCGTAGCTCGAAAATCGTAGCTCCCAAACATTAACATAGACTTACGATGGTAGTAGTACTAGGAGCGTTGCTCCCATACATTAACATAGACTTACGATAGTAGTAGCACTAAGATCGTAGCTCCCATACATTAACAAAGGCTCACGATAGTAGTAGCACTGCGATCTTAGCTCCCATGCATTAACAAATAGTTACGATAATCGTAATGCGGAAATCGTAGCTCCCATACAATAATATAGACTTACGATAGTAGTAGCACTAAGATCGTAGCTCCCATACATTAACAAACAGTTACGTTAGTCGTTGCGCAAAAATCGAAACTCCAATACATTAACATAGTTCAGTGCTAACAGTGGGATGACGGACGCCCACCATAACATAACCTCAGTTTGACAATATGTGAAGGTTATACAGGAAATCGGGTGTTTTGTCACAACGTCATCTAGACCGTTTGGGCGTTGGCAGCTCACGTGTGTCTACCGTAATACGAGCTCTGTGGTGTGAGACGATGGCAAAATAAAACCTTGAACAATCTTAACTCCGTTATGCAATCTTTGTGAATGAAAAGAAACCCATCCTTAAAGGGAATGTACAATGACGGCTATGTTTGTTTTGAAATCATGCATGAAATAACTTTTGAGTATGCCCTCTCACATTCAGCTGAACGATTCAATTCACAACCAAACTCTATACAGCTCCGCACAGCGAATCAAACAACCCGAATGTACTTGCTTCAGTCATATTTATTTTATTGGAGCAATCACTCTTCAACCCAGAGTTCCTTGCGGCCAGCCTAGTAGCTCTGTCACATCCTACACAGTCAATTCGCGTGTTTTCCATTTATCTGTTTCATTTTGGATGAGTCTACATATTTAGAAAAAGATATATCATAAACTCAGGGTTAGAAATTGGCACTAGTCCTATAGTTCTTGCCAAACTGCCCAATAGTTAAGGTATCATAAGGACTAGTAGAAATTTGCCATTTTTAAGGGTTTTGCTATATATTATCATTATAAGGACTTGTGGACCAAAAATGTTAGTTTCTAACGCTGTAAACTGCTCCAATTTCATTAAAAATATATCCCCAAACGTGAAAAAAATATTTTCATTTGCGTATTTATCCTCTATGTGCTGTCATCGAAACCATATTGGTCACCGACCAGTTATCGCCACTTTTCCCATGTCGTTTTTGAAATATTCCGCGTAGAACGTTAACTGTGTCAATAACATTGATTTGAGCTGTAAATAACATTTCTGTTATAACGCGACGATAGGGAATCAAACAGCGGACATAGAAATTTCCCGTCGACCAACTACACTAGTTATAGCCATCGTCTAAACAACATGTGTCACGTGACCACATGCACCACATCAGTTATACACATTTCTTTTTCGATTTTCTCTGTTCTCAATACACATGGATTTATCAGAGACCGGAAAATAGAGGCACGACCCTCCCAACAGTTTATCATAAACCATCAGCGCTACAGTCTGGCATGTAACTGATACACCCCGACACCCTGCTGCTAACCTCCCGGTACTGCAATAGATTCGCAGACATTCACAACTGGTCATTCTGGTAACCACGTGAACAATATTACATACTATCCTAGGTTAATTCCCTTAGCCGTGATTTCTCCGACTACGACCAACGACAATCCAATAAAAAAACGGCAGATTACATTGATTTTTATCTGATCTCTCCTTAGTTGACTGCTAAGTTTACAAATCAATACAATGTATTGTACATCAATTACAATTGAAGTAGGAAATAGAGTGATAGTACAATATTCAGTGGCAGTATCAAATACAAATATGATGGAGGTGATAATAATGTTCACCTATCAGCAACAGTGGTCAAGCTTTCGAGATAGGCTCAGGCTGAACACAAGGGTGAAAATTGATGTTCACATGGAAACTGGTCTTGATGTAATGTCAGATGAAATGTGTGATATAACTAGCTTCCAGCACATTCCACACAGTGCTTGACAAGTCCAGTGTCACTAAAACATCAGAGAATATTCCACATGTTTCGATAGCGCTTGACATCCATTATTTTATTTTACAGATAATTCGAGCATCTAAATATAATAACTTCAACACCACTACTTACAATACATAATATTACATTCCTGACATCTAAACATAGTTCATATACAAATCAAGACCTTCTACTGCATATCAACAGAAACAATGTAATACAGTTACAATCATTGTCTAACAATCAGCTACATCGCTTTATAACACTCACAGAAGTCTGCTTTGTTTACGTTTTCTTCTTATGAAAACGAACAAACTTTATACCACATGCGTGCGCGTTATAACGGGGAGTTGGCGATAACTGGTTGCTAGATATCATACGGTCACTTTAATATGTAAAGCTATTTTGTCATGCACCTCCCTGTCACAGTTATAGGAATAAGTGCGTTTGTTTTTTACAAACAAAAGTCCAATGACATAAGCCTACACCCGCGGGGTGATAAGTGCGACCTCTGGGGCAGAAACTCCTCTCGCGCAATAAGACGAGCACAACCGAGAAAGTTCAGGAGTTATCGACTGTTGTTAGCAAAATGCTTCAGAACAGTAAAAGTACTGGTCCTATATAAACATTTGTCTCAAAGGAAAACGAGAAAAACTAAAACAAGATGTGAGAACGTGCACGCTATCAAGGGGAGTTGGCGATAACTGGTCGCTAGATATCGATACCATCACTTTGGTAAAGCTATAATGTCAAACACCTCACTGTTGCAGTTATGGTGTGTCTATATAATTATGTAAACAAATATGTAAGGCTTGCATTGACCCGGTTGTTCTTATTTCAGAACAAGTGCGTTTGCTTACAAACAAAAGTCTGATGATACAAGCCTACACCAGCGGGGTTATCGCTGTGACCACTGGAGCAGAAACTCCTCTCAAGGAATAAGGCGACACTCGAGTAAGTTCAAGGGTTATCGACAATTGTTTACAAACAACGCTTCAGAACAATCCAAGTAGTGGTCCTTTATATTTTCTGCTGTTGCTCGTCATCCTTTAATAAACATGACACAACAAGCATACTGCAACTAGACTAGTTTCGTTTTCTCATTCAGCTATGCCGAGCAGGGAGTCAGCTTACACATTGTCCCATTCGTTTTCAAATTCAACCACACATTAAAGAGTGGTATAATGAGGTATACAAACAAGCATAACAACGTGGACACTTACTTACTGTGTAGTATGAAGAAGAAATGTGTGGACGAAACCAGCGTCAAGACCCTCTACAAGGAAGCTGGTAAAACCTGTACTAAAAGTAACTGTTTATAAGCTCCTCACACTCTGGGTAGGAAAGCAGAAGCAAGCTCCTCCACAGCGCTAGCACACCTCGCTAAGTAACACGAGCGCCACCCGACGGCCAGGCAAAAACTGGTTCTACTGGTGCTACGCGACGCAAGCTCAAGTAGACAGTCTGATATCTGGCTAATGAGACATGACTGTGTGTGGCAGTAGTACAACTGGACTGTGACAGTGTCAGGCAGTGTTACAACTGGACTGTGACAGTGTGAGGCAGTGTTACAACTGGACTGTGACAGTGTCAGGCAGTTTTACAACTGGACTGTGACAGTGTCAGGCAGTGTAACAGCTGGACTGTGACAGTGTCAGGCAGTGTTACAGCTGAACAGTGACAGTGTCATGCAGTGTTACAACTGGACTGTGACAGTGTCATGCAGTGTTACAACTGGACTGTGACAGTGTCATGCAGTGTTACAACTGGACTGTGACAGTATCAGGCAGTGTTACAACTGGACTGTGACAGTGTCAGTCAGTGTTACAACTTTACTGTGACAGTGTCAGGCAATGTTACAACTGGACTGTGACACTGTGACAACTGTGTTAGGCAGTCATACAACTAGACTGTGACAGGGTCAGGCAGTAATACAACTAGACAGTGACAGTGTCAGGCAGTGTTACAACTGGACTGTGACAGTGTAAGGCAGTAGTACAACTGGACTGTGACAGTGTCAGGCAGTAGCACAACTGGACTGTGGCAGTGTCAGGCAGTGTTACAACTGGACTGTGACAGTGTCAGGCAGTGTTACAACTGGACTGTGACAGTGTAAGGCAGTGTTACAACTGGACTGTGACAGTGTCAGTCAGTGTTACAACTTAACTGTGACAATGTCAGGCAGTGTTACAACTGGACTGTGACAGTGTAAGGCAGTAGTACAACTGGACTGTGACATTGTCAGGCAGTAGCACAACTGGACTGTGGCAGTGTCAGGCAGTGTTACAACTGGACTGTGACAGTGTCAGGCAGTGTTACAACTGGACTGTGACAGTGTCAGGCAGTGTTACAACTGGACTGTGACAGTGTCAGGCAGTAATACAACTAGACTGTGACAGTGTCAGGCAGTAATAGAACTAGACTGTGACAGTGTCAGGCAGTGTAACAACTGGACTGTGACAGTGTCAGGCAGTAATACAACTAGACTGTGACAGTGTCAGGCAGTAATACAACTAGACTGTGACAGTGTCAGGCAGTAATACAACTAGACTGTGACAGTGTCAGGCAGTAATAGAACTAGACTGTGACAGTAATACAACTAAACTGTGACAGTGTCAGGCAGTAATACAACTAGACTGTGACAGTGTCAGGCAGTAATACAGCTAGACTGTGACAGTGTCAGGCAGTGTTACAACTGGACTGTGACAATGTCAGGCAGTAATACAACTAGACTGTGACAGTGTCAGGCAGTAATACAACTAGACTGTGACAGTGTCAGGCAGTAATAGAACTAGACTGTGACAGTAATACAACTAAACTGTGACAGTGTCAGGCAGTAGTACTACTAGACTGTGACAGTGTCAGGCAGTAATACAACTAGACTGTGACAGTAATACAACTAAACTGTGACAGTATCAGGCAGTAGTACTACTAGACTGTGACAGTGTCAGGCAGTCATACAACTAAACTGTGACAGTGTCAGACATTAATACAACTAGACTGTGACAGTGTCAGGCAGTAGTACAACTGGACTGTGACAGTGTCAGGCAGTACTACAACTAGATTGTGACAGAGTCAAGCGGTAGTACAACTAGACTGTGATAGAGTCAGGCAGTAATACAACTAGACTGTGACAGTGTCAGGCAGTAATACAACTGGACTATGACAGTAATAAAATTAAACAGTAACAGTGTCAAGCAATAATACATAGTGACAGTGTCAAGCAGTAATAAAACTAGACATGACACAACAAGCATACTGCAACTAGACTAGTTTCGTTTTCTCATTCAGCTATGCCGAGCAGGGAGTCAGCTTACACATTGTCCCATTCGTTTTCAAATTCAACCACACATTAAAGAGTGGTATAATGAGGTATACAAACAAGCATAACAACGTGGACACTTACTTACTGTGTTGTATGAAAAAGAAATGTGTGGACGAAACCAGCGTCAAGACCCTCTACAAGGAAGCTGGTAAAACCTGTACTAAAAGTAACTGTTTATAAGCTCCTCACACTCTGGGTAGGACAGCAGAAGCAAGCTCCTCCACACCGCTAGCACACCTCGCTAAGTAACACGAGCGCCACCCGACGGCCAGGCAAAAACTGGTTCTACAGGTGCTACGCGACGCAAGCTCAAGTAGACAGTCTGATATCTGGCTAATGAGACATGACTGTGTGTGGCAGTAGTACAACTGGACTGTGACAGTGTCAGGCAGTGTTACAACTGGACTGTGACAGTGTGAGGCAGTGTTACAACTGGACTGTGACAGTGTCAGGCAGTGTTACAACTGGACTTTGACAGTGTGAGGCTGTGTTACAACTGGACTGTGACAGTGTCAGGCAGTGTAACAGCTGGACTGTGACAGTGTCAGGCAGTGTTACAGCTGAACAGTGACAGTGTCAGGCAATGTTACAACTGGACTGTGACAGTGTCATGCAGTGTTACAACTGGACTGTGACAGTGTCAGGCAGTGTTACAACTAGACTGTGACAGTGTCAGTCAGTGTTACAACTGGACTGTGACAGTGTCATGCAGTGTTACAACTTGACTGTGACAGTGTCAGGCAATGTTACAACTGGACTGTGACACTGTGACAACTGTGTTAGGCAGTAATACAACTAGACTGTGACAGTGTCAGGCAGTATTTCAACTAGACAGTGACAGTGTTAGGCAGTAATACAACTAGACTGTGACAGTGTCAGGCAGTATTTCAACTAGACTGTGACAGTGCCAGGCAGTAATACAACTGGACTGTGACAGTGTTAGGCAGTCATACAACTAGACTGTGACAGTGTCAGGCAGTAATACAACTAGACAGTGACAGTTTCAAGCAGTAATACAACTAGACTGTGACAGTGTCAGGCAGTAATACAACTAGACAATGACAGTGGCAAGGAGTAATACAACTAGTCTGTGACGTTGTCAGGCAGTAGTAGATCTAGACTGTGACAGTGTCAGGCAGTAGTAGATCTAGACTGCGACATTGCTAGGCAGTAATACAACTAGACTGTGACAGTGTCAGGCAGTAATACAACTAGACTGTGACAGTGTCAGGCAGTAATACAACTAGCCTGTGACAGTGTCAGGCAGTAATACAACTAGCCTGTGACAGTGTCAGGCAGTAATACAACTAGACTGTGACAGTGTGAGGCAGTAATACAACTAGACTGTGACAGTGTCAGGCAGTAATACAACTAGACTGTGACAGTGTCAGGCAGTAATACAACTAGCCTGTGACAGTGTCAGGCAGTAGTGCAACTCTTGACATGAGCACCATCCAGGAAGAGGAAAATCACATGAGTTTGAAGGATGATATGTGTTCCAGGCAACAACGTCAGCAACAACAGGAAAAGCATTATGCATTGAAGCATTTTTTATAATGGCTTGGGTTAACATATTTTGCAAATTTCAAATAATTTTCCTCAAACATGGGGGAAAGGGTAATACTGTTTTGTTTGTTCGTTTGTTTGTTTTCTTGTGTAACACCGCACTCCAGCCACATAAAAATGAAGCTTTTAAATGTTTACACATGCACCTTTATGAAGGCCGTGCTATTAGTGTATTTCAGTGTTTCGATATTTGTTATCTTTTGTGTACAGTGTTAGATTAAATAGCTTTCTGTGAATAGAATATGAGTCGTGCGTTTCCTCCCAGTGGCGACGAAGCACCGGGGCGTGGCCTCATGGACACAAGAACTGTGTACACCACGTCATGTATTGTGTACTTGCCAGCTGTAAAGTATACATGACGGTTCTTTTCGTCAAAAATTCCGGTATTGACTAACACAGCAACAAGTTTAAATGAATCATCCTTCGCACAACGTGGCAGTCAATATGCAGATTCAGGGTTTTAGAAGTACGTCGCTAGGCCACTGAAACGAGTCCCAATAACATAGAGCTAGTCAAAGAAATAGATTCCAAACTCACAAACTGGCACTGGTAATAATAGTGTACAACTGAAATAACTTCCTGGTGTATATTTCTGGTTCTTTCCGTCACAATACCGGTATTGACTAACACAGCAACAAGTTTAAATAAATCATCTCTCGCACAACGTGACAGTCACTATGCAGATTCGGGGCGTTAGAAGTACGTCGCTTGGCCACTAATACGAGTTCCAATAAAATAAAATAGATCGATGAAATAGATTTCAAAGACAATTATGTGTCGGACGGATTTCCAAGTGTGTGTAATTTCAACATATTCCCAAGATACTTATATATCACACGCTAGTCATTGTGTGCGAGACAGTCGCATAATCTCTAATGCAGGACCAAACGCCGCTGGTTGCCTCAAGGCATACACTTTGGAAGTGCAAAGGAACACACTGCTGTTGTTTAAAGTCATACATTAGTACTGTTGTTGTCTAACAGGAGACACTGCTGTTGTCTAAAGGAACACACTGCTGTTGTCTCAAGGAACACACTGCTGTTGTCTAAAGGAACACACTGTTGTTTTCTAAAGGAATACACTGCTGTTGTCTCAAGGAACCCCCTGCTGTTGTCTTAAGGAACACACTGTTGTTGTCTAAAGGAACACACTGCTGTTGTCTAAAGGAACACACTGTTGTTGTCTAATGGAATACACTGCTGTTATCTCAAGGAACCCCCAGCTGTTGTCTCAAGGAACACACAGCTGTTGTCTAAAGGAACACACAGCTGTTCTCTAAAGTCATACACTAGTACTGTTGTTGTCTAAAGGAACACACTGCTGTTGTCTAAAGGAATACACTGCTGTTGTCTAAAGTCATAAACAGCTGTTGTCTAAAGTCATACAGTGGTATTGTTGTTGTCTAAAGGAACACACAGCTGTTGTCTAAAGGAACACACTGCTGTTGTCTAAAGCAACACACAGCTGTTCTCTAAAGTCATACACTAGTACTGTTGTTGTCTAAAGGAACACACTGCTGTTGTCTAAAGTCATACACTAGTACTGTTGTTGTCTAAAGGAATACACTGCTGTTGTCTAAAGTCATACACAGCTGTTGTTTAAAGTCATACACTAGTACTGTTGTTGTTTAAAGGAACACACTGCTGTTGTCTAAAGGAATACACTGCTGTTGTCTAAAGGAACACACAGCTGTTGTCTAAAGTCATACACTAGTACTGTTGTTGTCTAAAGGAATACACTGCTGTTGTCTAAAGTCATACACAGCTGTTGTTTAAAGTCATACACTAGTACTGTTGTTGTCTAAAGGAACACACTGCTGTTGTCTAAAGGAATACACTGCTGTTGTCTAAAGTCATACACAGCTATTGTTTAAAGTCATACACTAGTACTGTTGTTGTCTAAAGGAACACACTGCTGTTGTCTAAAGGAACACACTGCTGTTGTCTAAAGGAACACACTGCTGTTGTCTAAAGGAACACACTGCTCTTGTCTAAAGGAACACGTGCTTTAGTGGGGAAAGTGAGACTGGGCTAGGTGTTATAGTGGTGAAAGTGAGACGTGGCGACGTGTTATAGTGAGGAAAGTGAGACTGGGCGAGGTGTATAGTGGGGAAAATGAGTGACAGCGAGTTACATTTGGGGAAAGTGATCTTGGGCTAGTTGTTATAGTGGGGAAAGTGAGACATGGCGATGTGCTATAGTGGGAAAAGTGAGACGTGGCGACGTGCCATTGTGGGGAAAGTGAGACTGGGCGAGGTGTTACAGTCGGGAAAGTGAGACGAGGCGACGTGCTATAGCGGGTAAAAGTGAGACGTAGCGACGTGCTACAGTGGGGAATGTGAGACTGGGCGAAGTGTATAGTGGGGAAAGTGAGACTGGGCGAGGTGTATAGTGGGGAAAGTGAGACTGGGCGAGGTGTTACAGTGGGGAAAGTGAGACAGGGCGAGGTGTTACAGTTGGGAAAGTGAGACTGGGCGAGGTGTTACAGTAGGGAAAGTGAGACGGGGCGAGGTGTATAGTGGGGAAAGTGAGACTGAGCGTGGTGCCTAAGTGGGGAAAGTGAGACTGGGCGAGGTGTTACAGTAGGGAAAGTGAGACTTGGCGAGGTGTTACAGTAGGGAAAGTGAGACTGGGCGAGGTGTTACAGTAGGGAAAGTGAGACTGGGCGAGGTGTTACAGTAGGGAAAGTGAGACTGGGCGAGGTGTTACAGTAGGGAAAGTGAGACTGGGCGAGGTGTTACAGTAGGGAAAGTGAGACTGGGCGAGGTGTTACAGTAGGGAAAGTGAGACTTGGCGAGGTGTTACAGTGAGGAAAGTGAGACTGGGCGAGGTGTTACAGTAGGGAAAGTGAGACTGGGCGAGGTGTTACAGTGAGGAAAGTGAGATTGGGCGAGGTGTTATAGCGGGGAATGTTAGCGACAACGAATTATAGGTGGGGAAAAGTGAGACTTAGCGAGGTGTTACAGTGGGGAAAGTGAGACTGGGCGAGGTGCATTGTGGGGAAAGTGAGACTGGGCGAGGTGTATAGTGGGGAAAGTGAGACTGGGCGAGGTGTTACAGTAGGGAAAGTGAGACAGGGCGAGGTGTTACAGTGGGGAAAGTGAGACTGGGCGAGGTGTTACAGTGGGGAAAGTGAGACGGGGCGAGGTGTTACAGTAGGGAAAGTGAGACTGGGCGAGGTGTTACAGTAGGGAAAGTGAGACTGGGCGAGGTGTATTGTGGGGAAAGTGAGACTGTGCGAGGTGTATAGTGGGGAAAGTGAGACTGGGCGAGGTGTATAGTGGGGAAAGTGAGACAGGGCGAGGTGTTTTAGAGGGGAAAATGAAACGTGTGGATGTGGTATAGTGAGAAAAGTGAGACTGGGCTAGGTGTTATAGCGGGAAATGTTAGCGACAACGAATTATAGGTGGGGAAAAGTGAGACTTAGCGAGGTGTTACAGTGGGGAAAGTGAGACTGGGCGAGGTGTATAGTGGGGAAAGTGAGACTGGGCGAGGTGTTACAGTGCGGAAAGTGAGACAGGGCGAGGTGTTACAGTTGGGAAAGTGAGACTGGGCGAGGTGTTACAGTGGGGAAAGTGAGACGGGGCGAGGTGTATAGTGGGGAAAGTGAGACTGGGCATGGTGCCAAAGTGGGGAAAGTGAGACTGGGCGAGGTGTTACAGTAGGGAAAGTGAGACTTGGCGAGG